CGTACACTTCATTTCGGGGTCAACGTCATAGTGCTTCTCATCCTTGTGTCTTGAAAGAGCCGTGGAACGAGTACCTCGTCTCATGTTAGCCAGATGGTCTTAAATGGGAAAGGTTATAACCTTTCCTGTTTCTCCAATATAGGTTGAGTTACATGCTCGGCATTCGATTTGGTAAATTACTCCCCTACAGGTACAATCCCCTATTTGCCGTGTGGGCAAATAACTATCGTGGAGCCTGCTTCGCACCAATTGTCTTCCGATGTTTTCGTTGGGAATATTAACCAACTGAACATCGTTGTGCAGCTGTGCTCTTCTAATACTCCGTTGAATAGCAGCGCTCACTTCGTCAGATATAAAGGGGAGACATAAGGGCAACTTGATTTGACGCGGTACCCCTCTTGGGGAGATATGCCGACTTTGGTGTCTTTGTACCGCATAGCCGTTTGCAATGGCTATTTGTGTAGCTAATTGTCGTGATTCACGCCTTTCAACATCTCCAGTGCTCACCTTAGTCGCACTTCTGAACATATTTCCAACAATAGCACGTTTAACAGCGACTATAGTTATTTTACATTATAGTTGTTTTCATATATATATTGGATTTACCATTACACAAAACTTCTTTCTATAGTTCTACAAATTCAATAAATTTCGTGGGTGGCCCGTTTTGAGGGTGAAATTGGGGATTTGTACCAAAATCTGCATAATTGTAAGTTAAAAATAAGATTTTATTGAATATTCATGACTGGCTGAAATAAATATTATAGAAAATGCAGTTCCCATTCTTTGAACAGGCTTGAAACCTTGTCAGATGAACTTGATGGTGCGGACATTGTAGGTGCACTTCATGGGCATCAAAATGATGATGTATTGTTTAGTAGGCTATGAGTCGTTTGATAGTGAATATTTGACATTGGGAGATGAATTTCATGAGTTCATAAGAACTATCCATCAAAGCACTACGTCTCTACAAAACTGACATATTCTTCATGAAAAACTGAAATTCATGCAAAACAAGTGACACCACTGAATACAGCGTAGCTGATTGGGAATAGTGAAGGCAAAATCAAAATATTGCATTCCAATTACTTGGGAAGCTAGCTATTCTAGAGCACCTGTATGCACAGACTCCCACACGCACTCCCACACAATCCTCATATTAAGAAGTGAAGGTCGCTTCTGTACATAGAATTGGGATTGGAACAGGTGTTCAAATTCCCCCAGAATCGAGTATTACATGGAATGTATATATACAATAATCTGGGGTTAATTGTGTCATCGCTACAGACGGTCTTCTTCGACAAAACCATATGTACTGGTTGTGAACTTCCTGCGATGCATTTATAACTGACTGTTCAGGGATGAGGCTCATTCTACTTCTACTCGTCCTAGCTGTGACAACTCAAGCGGGCTTGCTGGACATCGGTAAAGTGAAAGATTTCTTCAAAGGAGGAAAATACGGCGAGAAAATTAAAAACGCGACACTCTTAAAGTTCAAGAAGGTGAGTGTTGTTGAGAGTTTGTGAGATGGAAAACAGGAACATCAAAAAATACTGATTGTCTGTTCAGTTATTTGAAAAACCGGCATACTTTCCCTCGGCAGCAAGTTGTCCGAGATGAGAAGCAAGCTGATGAAGAAGCTCGAACTCTCAAAACTCAAGAAAATAGAAGTTGACCGCAAGATTAAGGTAAGCGCTTCCACATAATTGCAAATTTTGAGATGTGAGACTTACTGATGAGCCTAGCAATTCAGGAAATCTTGGCCAAACGAGATGATACAGTAGAAAAGGCGATTAACACAATATTCGATATCAATGCTGGTAACAACGTCGGCCAACTACTTTACCAAAGTGACAT